ATGATGAACATGAAAGTATCAGATTCTTTTAAGTTTGTTAAATTTCAATTAAATTTAATTTTAAAATATGAATAAACAATAAGGGCAATCTTCTTACAGTTGGGTAGTATGGTACAATGGGAAACAGATACCTGGTCATTGTCCTGGGTTTCTGGCATACAGTTCCTAAAACCCTTGGAATCCCCGGAGCAGTAAGTATCTTTTTATGCTAATGAGATGACTGGTACCTGGGGGTCCCTAGACAACTTCAGGGTGATATCTGGTTACCAGAAAGACCAAGGCATGATTAGAGAGTTGGAACTTTCAGCCCCACCCCCAGACACTGGGGAAGGGAACAGGGCCTAGAGACTGAATTCAATGACCAATAGCCAATGATTTAATTAATTGTGTCTATGTAATGGAATCTCCATGAAAATTTCTAAACCATGGGGTTCAGAGATCTTCCAGATTGGTGTGTTCACCAATGATGGGGAAGGCAGAGAAATGGAAACATGATGTTTCAAATCTTCAGTTTAGAAGCCAGTGGCAGTTCAGGGAATCTCTGATATAATTTCTGAACACATTAGCGGCTTCAGTGCCTTTTAATAAGATGAACTTACAGATATATTAGAGTGGCCTTGGCCATGTGGTTGGTTTTAATAAGGGCTTCGATTTGGTTTTAGCCAAAGCAGAAGTTGGTTAGTTTTTTCTTATTAAAAAAATACACTCGTTGGCATTTTCCTGAATGACAATTATCTCATGTCAAAAGCATATATGCTCAACTCATGGGGGAAACATCTATGCTGCACTTTGCCTCTTTTGTCCTCTTATGGAAAGATTACACTGAAGGAAAACTGTTAAAGTGGGAAGAAGAAATCAACTTATATTTAGCATTAAATACAGATCCAAGATTAATAACAGGCTGATTTTTTCTGCTTCCCTGAGACACACACTGCAAGACGGAGAAATATGGCTCTGTTATATCTGTCTTTAGAAAGAGTCACCAGGGAATCCAAAAAAGCCACTGTTAGAAGTAATTTGTTGGCTTCCCGACACATGGGGCTCATTATTGTGATCTACGTACCAGCCTTTGGTACTATTTGCAATTTTCAGGGAGGTCATTAATGAAGGCTAAGAAAAAGAATGACTACGAAATCAGTCTTGGAGTTTATTTCACACATTCTCCATCCTGAGGTCATTCAGTGAGTGTTTGGTGTTTGAATGTAGAGAAATCATAAAGCAGCCAGTCCAGATAAGTGAAGGGCAGCTTGGGTCGTCAACCCCAAAATATACTTGACTCTCCAAATTGCTAATGCAGTGATTATTGCCCATGGCTGTAGACGTGTTACTTCAAAAGAGCCTTCAAGGAGAGATGTAAATTGAACTCACAGGTAATAAGGAAGAATTCTGTAATTCAAGATAAAGTTTTACCAGTTTTCAAAGCGAATTCCCAAAACCAAGCAGAGATAAATCAATATAGTAATGAAAGAAAGCATCTAATTAAAAAGAAACTGAATACATTTTTTCCCCCTTAAGTTACAGTTGTTTAAAATATGCTGTCCAAACACAAGTATATGATGATTTTGTAGTTTACAATGCTCCTTGTTCTGGCTAGAATGCAGGGCTAGAGAGGGGAAGTAGTTCAGGAGTGGGGAGTTCTAGTCTTGGGGACTTAGCCCGTGGGGCCTCTAGCAGCTTGTGTCCACAAAGGAGGACTCCAATTCTATATGAGGCTCGCTACCTGACCAGTGCAGTAGCTTTGGTCTGTTTCCAGCTGGAAAGAACAACATGGATGTGCCCACAGAGAGCATTTCCCATGTCGAAGAACAGCCAGGCTACCGCTGTCTTTTCTATATCCTTTTCCTGAATGCTCAAAATTGCTGAAAACATTTGGGTGTGTATTTGGCATGTGCCAGAGTAATCAGATCTTACAAAGACAGGGAGCCTTGAGAGATCAGCTACATTTGCAAACTCGGAACAGTCTTCACAGATAGATGAGAGACACGCTATTTCCCTTTTTTTTCATTTTGCCACAATCAGGTTGAAGAAGGGAATTAGGGGGTTCACTTTACATTGCACTCTATCATTGTACCACTGGTATCGATCATTTTTATGGACCTATTAAACAGGCTAGAATGGGTTTCCACAGTCACCTGCTACAGCCTGCTGCCTTCAGGCAGATGACATTTGGTTCCTCTGTGTAGCTTAAATTTGACTGACTTCATACTGAAAAGCCCCATCTGAACACGCTCCACTATTACATCAATTCAGCGGGACCGGGACAGGCCCAAAGGTGATAAAGATTACAGATATCCTAACATCATTTCTGGAACCATATATTCTACCAAGACCACAAGGATCTGAGACAAGAAGAGAACAATTAAGGGACTAAGGTGTGCTGGAGGTATCCATAGCCGAAAACTGCTATCAAAAAGCAGCAGGCTTCTGGGAAAGAACTTTCTTTTTAGCTTGGAAGCCAGAAATACGTTGGCATTGCCACTGGAATTGGAACAAAGCCAATTTTTTTTTAAAGATTTTATTTATTTAACTGACAGAGAGAGAGAGAGAGAGAGAAGGGGGAGTGGGAGAGGGAGAAGCAGGCTTCCCGCCGAGCAGGGAGCCCAATGCGGGGCTCGATCCCAGGACCCTGGGATCATGACCTGAGCCGAAGGCAGTCGCTTAACCAATTGAGCCACCCAGGCGCCCCAGAACAAAGCCAATTTTTAATTGGTTTTAAAATCTCGAATGGAACATTCCGGCAGTCATCCATGAACCGACCTCATCCTGTAGAAGCTGAGTGAATCTTGGCCAACCATCTGCCTTGTGAATTGTTCTGTTTGGGCCCCTTATAGGACAGAAAGTACTTGTGCAATAGTTTTACATGAGGTTAACAAAGTCCTTCAGGGTGTCTCTGGAGCAGAGAATTCAAAAAGAGAAAACGGTCTCCAGAGAGAAAAATCAAATGCCTTCACTGATATGCCTTGGGGCTGGGTGAATCTAAAAGGCTGGGAGTTAACTACCTTCTCTCCTCCTAGCACAGTGGTTTCCAAAAAGGACTGAAACCTATTCTTACAGAAGACAGGCAGCTGGACAAACAGACTGCATTAGTACTTCAAGATAGGCTTAACTCAGAATTTTACTAGATTCACCACTGTAGCTCCAGGGCTTCACACATAGCCACATCTCCCTAAGGTTTGGTTGAATGAACGGTGACCCTTTCGAAACGTGCCTACGCTGAAATTAACTCAGCGGCAGAGAGTGTGTGGGGAGCCCACCTTTTCTCCCATCCCCAGGACAGTGCTCCACCCTCCACAGCAAGGATGGAATGAAGGATTCTTCTCAGCAGCGCCCAGGGATGAGCAGACACTTTCTCCAAGTCCTTCTTAAGTCTACCCTGTGATTATCACAGGGCACGGGGGGAAAGGAGGAAACGAAGAAGACTAATCGGCAATTCCTGACACCGCAAATGAAACGGAAAGCCGGCTGTTGATGAAGATAGTCTAGACAAGCTCATAAATAAAAACATAACTTCCTCAGACGGGAAGTAGTTGAAATAAGTAAGCCTCACCGAGAACTTTCAACATTTGGGTTTGAATGACTGCCAAAGAAATGGGAAGAAAAAATGAGCAAGAAAACCAAATGTAACTTTTATACAACAACAACAACAACAACAACAACAGCTTTTATATCTAGGGTTTTCTTTTTTTTTTTCCCCCAAAGAAGAACATTCTATTTTTAAAAAATAGGCTATGTTCTTCAAAAATGTTAATGTCCTACAAGACAAAGAAAGCCTGAGGAGCTGTTCTAGACGGGAGGACACTAGAGTGACAGGACAGCTCATTGGTGCTGTGAAGGACAATCTTAGGTCAACTGATACAACTAGAACACAATCAGCACATTAGGTGAAGTACCGTATGAATGTTCGGCTTATGGAAGGTCATGTAAAAGAATAGCCTTATTCTTAGGAAATCCACACTGAAATATTGAGGGGTAAAGGGCTATGACGTATGCAATTTCCTTAAAAAAATAATTGATTAATTTGAAAATTGAGATATAATTGGGTTGGTTTTCAATTTTACAGTAGACTTTTAAATATATTACTGGGAGATGCCAGGTCTTAAGTCTGGAATGCTGTAAGGCATCATCATTAAAATGTATAATTTCAGGCTGGTCCCCAGGGGGTGGAATCCCTCTGAAGCCGCAACAGCCAGAGAGCCGCAGGGAAGTGGTATTCACTCAGGGGCCGCCTACAGGTACCCATGCAGAAAGTAAGCCACACTTGTAATCATTCTTTTTTTTTTTTTTTTTTTTTAAGATTTTATTTATTTATTTGACAGAGAGAGTGAGAGAGCACAAGCAGGGGGAACAGTAGAGGGAGAGGGAGAAGCAGGCTCCCCGCCAAGCAGGGAGCCCGATGCGGGGCTCGATCCCAGGACCCTGAGATCATGACCCGAGCCCAAGGCAGACGCTTAACCATCTGAGCCACCCAGGCGCCCCACTTGTAATCATTCTTGAGGCATGAGGACTGGTATGCTTTATCAGGGCTAATACACTGCTGTACACTCCAGTTGATCGAGAGCTTAAAAGGACTATTGCTCATATTGTCGAGCCAAAAGGGGCTTTTATACTTACTGAAATCAATGCTTCCCTAATTCAGGACACTGGTGAGCCATACATTTCAGTATAACTTAATTTGATACAAGTGGACATTCTAGAGCCAGATCGTCTGGCTCAAACTCCCAGCTCCACCACTTTCTACATGTATGACTTTCAGAAACTTACTTCAATGCTCTTTGCCTCAGTTTCCTCATTTGTAAAGTGGGGATTAAAAAAAAATACTTACCTCATAGTATTATGGTGAGGATTAAATGAGCCGACACTTTTAAAACACAAAAGTGCCTGGCCCATGGTAAATATTCCAGGAATGTTATCTTTTAATATTGATTAAATATTGCAATAGAGGAGACAGAAGAAAAAAAGATGTAGTGCCATAAATCCATATCTAGGACTTCGATATTCACCTATAACACAGAAGGGCTTTCGGGCAAATCTCAGTCTTCCTTGCCATCCTCTATACCGACAACAGCAACCTGCAGACCAGATTCGAATGATGAACTCCAAACCAAAGACGACAATCATCACGAACTCCTAAAATATGAAATAAGACATGTTAGAGGCATTACGGAGCAAACCACAGCGAGAAGCTCCTGGGCATTTCTGGACACTCAGGCACTTCATCTAAAATACAGTTGTTAGTGCCCCGAGTTAACATCCTCTCTTCTTCAAAGCAAACTAACCCTGGGGACACACGTGAACCTCACATTGTCTGCATTTCCCATCACGGAATGCTATTCCTATTCAAGTCCCTAACACTGTACGAATTTAGGAGTCAGTTTTATTTTATTTTTTTATTTTATTTTATTTTATTTTTAAAGATTTTATTTATTTGACAGAGAGAGACACAGCAAGAGAGGGAACACAAGCAGGGGGAGTGAGAGAGCGAGAAGCAGGCTTCCCGTGGAGTGGGGAGCCCTACGCGGGGCCCCATCCCAAGACCCTGGGATCATGACCTGAGCCGAAGGCAGACACTTAACGACTGAGCCACCCAGGCGCCCCTAGGAGTCAGTTTTAATACTAAATGTGCAGGCTGAATTACAGCTCTGCCTTGTTTGGAATATACAGTGTAACCGACTTCAGCCACCCGGTAAAACATGTGAAATATTTGAAACGAAGGAGGCGACCCTGAAAACACAGCTTTACGCTTTTACAAAAACAGACTTTCATTTTGCTGCATGAAGGGATATAATCCTTATGTCCTTAAGAGTTGTTCTTAGAGAAAAAGAAGTCAACATGTGGAAGTATACTGAGTTCTTTTGTTACAGTGTCAAAATCTTATAAGAGAAAGTTTCAAAAGAATTATTGTGTGTGTGACACATAGATTCTTTGCCTGAAAAGAGACCCTGAATCTTCCAGATCTGAAGCTTGTTAATTCTAATGCTGTCTTTTGGTGAGAGATACCCAGAATACCCAGAATCTTCCAGATCTGAAGCTTGTTAATTCTTATGCTGTCTTTTGGTGAGAGATACCCAGAAGGCCTGCTCCAGCAAAATGACTGAGATTATTTAGGAATAGCAGTGAATGAACCCTGGGGGAAGGCCAACTCATGTGGCTCACTAAGTAGCAGGTCACAGAATGAGAAACCAAATGCAATTTGTAAGAATAAAGCATCTCTGTGGCAAGCATGTCATAGTCACCTTGTTGTCCCTTTAGAGGGACAGGCACTGAGTTTGTCGAAATTTATTTTACTTTAAAAAAATAATTCCCTTTCTGGTCTTTAAACAAGGGTCGACTTAGCATTTTTAACGCATAACAATGTGTGTTAATTGATTTTTATCATAATTAATTAATTATAAAAGGGATACATGGTCTTTATCAAAACATTCAAACATCACAGAAATATAGAGCATAGAAAGTAAAGATCCTAATCTCCCACCCCACAGCCCAAGATAAAAACTGTTATCAAATTTAGAAAAATGGCATTTTTGTTGCAAGTTTCAGGCAAATGTCTCTCTCTTCAGTTAGCACATGTGATAATATGTTGCACTTTTGCAGAGCCCAATAGAGATAGATCATTCTATCCTGTTATTTTGCACTAAGTAACCCACAAATATTTCTCATGATGAAAAATAAATCTCCAATGTCATCGCTGCTTACTTATAGGGACTTAAAACTACCTATGGAATAAATCCCCAAAGATGACTTTATGCCCAGATAACCAAAACTATGGTCAACATAAACTCATTAATGATGTGAGGGTTTCTTTTTATTTTGGCTTTGCTTTGCTTTTGAGTCTCTATCTAGGTAGTTGAGTCTATTCATTCATTAAGGTGGCCAAAGTTGCCAGACCACCTGTATTCAATCCAGCACGCCTTTCCACACAGAGAAAACATGGCCTCAGATGCCCATGTAGCTGCCTGTGTCCAATCTAGTTTCATGGCAGGTCCACTTTTTTATTCCTGCCTCTAACTCCTACTTGTGCCAAGAAGTTCAGCACGCCACTGGTGAGAGGTCTTATTCTAAGGGACACCCAAGAGCTTGAGCAACTAGGCACATCATACAATGGTTTTTCTTCTTCATAGGAGCAGATGACACCAATCGATGCATGGCCATTATTCTGAAGTAAAGCAGGCCACCCACCACTGTACCATTTCTATGTTGCACTGAGGCAGGATAGATTACACCTACAAATTCTTTACTCAGGGCCCTTTGTTCAGGAATATTGCTTGCTGCCTTATTTTTTCCTTAAGCATTAGGGGGAAATATCCTTCATTTCCAAATAAAGCAAGAGGAAGTTGTAATTGGATTTTACCACAGGGTCACAATTTCTGCCTTGGGGGAAGTATACTAGGGTCAGAATTCTCTCCTTGGTAGACCATTACTTGGTGTTCTCTACAAGGGCTAAAACAATTTTTTAAGGATTTATTTATTTATTTGAGAGAGAGACAGTGTGCACGCACAAGCAGGGGGAGGGGCAAGGGGAGCAGGAGAGAATCTCAAGCAGACTCCCTGCTGAGCATGGAGCCTGCTGCAGACTTGGTCTCACCACCTTGAGATCACGACCCTGAGATCATGACCTCAGCAGAAACCAAGAGTTGGACACTTAACCAACTGAGCCACCCAGGTGTGCCTAAAGGATAAAATTTCTAATCCTTGGGTAAGCAGCAATGGAGATGAGAACTCAGCAGATGACTACGGGACATTTCGTTCAGGCCTGGAGCTGCAGGCTGTGGGGGATGTGATAGGGAACAAAAGTATGAAAACCACTTTGACCAAATTCTGTCTATTGATTCCTAAAATGTCCACTTTATTTCAGTTATAAGGAACAAAATGCCATTGAGTCAGAGAAGGGAGAGCATCCCAAATCTGACAGGTAAGGAATAGATTCGTCACCATGCCGTGTATTAGATCTCTAGAACTTATTCATCTTGCATGACTAAAACTTTGTATCCTTTGACCAACATCTCCCCTTTCCCCCATCCCTCCAGTTCCTGGCAATCACCATTCTACTCTCTTCTTTTATGAGTTTGACTTTCCTAGATTCCACATATAAGTGAGATGACACAGTATTTGTCTTTCTGTGTGTGATTTACTCTACTTAGCATGATATCCTCCAAGTTCATCCATGTTATTGCAAGAGGTAGGGTTTCTTTTTTTTAAAGGCTGAATAATATTCCATCGTATATGTATGTACCACATTTCCTTTATCCATCTGTCCAATGATGGACACTTAGGTTGTTTCCATATCATGGCTATTGTGAATAATGCTGCAATGAATATGGGAATGCAGGTATCTCTTCAAGACCCTGACTTCATTTCCTCTGAATATATATATATGCCCAGAAGTGGGCTTGCTGGATCATATGGTAGTTCTATATTTAATTTTTGGAGGACCCTCCATACTGTTTTCCCCATAGTGGCTGCACAAATTTACATTCCCACCAACAAGGTATAGGGTTCCATTTTCTCCCCATCTTTGCCAATACTTGCTATCTTTTGTCTATTTGATAATAGCCATTCTTACAGCTGTTAAGTAATAGCTCATTGTGGTTTTAATCATCAGCATTTCCCAGACAATTAGTGATGTCGAATGCCTTTTCATATACCTGTTGGCCATTTTCATGTTTTCTTTTGAGAAATATCTATTCAGGTCCATTGCCCATTTTTTAGATCAGGTTATTTGGGGTTTTGGGTGTTTTTTTTGTTTTTGTTTTTTCCTATCCAGTTATGGAAGTTCCTTATATATTTGGATATTAACTCCTTATCAGATGTTTGGTGTGCAAATGTTTCCTCCCATTCTGGAGGCTATCTCTGCACTCTATTGATGATTTCCTTTGCTATACAAAAGCTTTTTAGTTTGATGCAATCCTACCTATTTTTGCTTTTGTTGTCTGCGATTTGAGGGTAGTGTCCGAAAAGTCATTGCACAGACCAATGTCAAGAAGCTCTTTTTCTATGTTTTCTTCTAGCAGTTTTATAGTTTCAGGCCTTACATTTAAGTCTTCATTAATTTTGAGTTGATTTTTATGTATGGTGTGAGAAAAGGGTCCAATTTCATTCTTCTGCATGTGAATATCCAGTTTTCCCACTCATGGTAAAAACTCTCAGCAAGTTAGGAATAGAGGTTTATTATCTCAATTTGATAAAGAGCATCTACAAAAAAACCTACAGCTAATGTCATACTTAATGGTGGAAGACTGAATGCTTTCTCCTAAAATCAAGAACAAGGCAAGATGTTAGTCTCATCTCTTTTACTCAACATAGTTAAATAATACAGTCACTGCAGTAAGGTAAGTAAAAGAAATAAAAGGCATACACACTGGAAAGACAGACATAAAACAGTCTCTATTTGCAGATGACATGATTGTCTCCAGAGAAAATTGCAAGGCATCTTCAAAAAAAAAAAAATGCTTAGAACTAATAAGTGAGTTCAGTAGGGTTGCAAGATTTAAGATCAACATACAAAAATCAATCATATTTCTGTATACTAACAATGAGGATGTGGAAACCAAAATTAAAAGCACAATATTATTTATAACCATTCCAAAGAAAATAAAATATTTAGCTATGCACTTAATAAAACAGGTAGAGAATATGCATGCTGGAAATTACAAACTTTTGATGACAGAAATCAGAAAAGACCTAAATAAGTGGAAATACCATGTTCATGAATTAGAAGACTCAACATAATAAAGATATCAACTTTGTATAAGTTGATCTATAGGTTAATGAAATTTTTATCAAAATCCCAGCAAGCTTAATTGCTGGCTTCCTTGCTTTATTTATTTATTTTAGAGAAAGAGAGATAGTGTGTGCATGCAAGTGGGGGCAGACACAGAGGGGGAGGGACAAGGAGAGAGAATCTGAAGCAGACTCCCTGCTGAGGACAGAGCCCCATGTGGGGCTCTATTTCAGGACCTTGACATCATGACCTGAGCTGATGAATAAGCAAGCATGTGAAAAGATATTCAACATCATTAGCCATATGGGAAACACAAATTAAAACTACATGAGATAACACTGCACACCTATCAGAATGGCAAAAATAAAAAATTGTATCCACACAAAATGGCGGGGAGAATGCAGAGAAA